TCAGGTTCACTTGCAGAAATCCTCTTATAACCATGTGTAGAGCAAGTGAAATGAAATGAGAACTGAACAGTTGAAAGATGAAAATTATTGGTTTACATTTCCAGATATATTCAAATGTACACACTTAAAGAGTTCTGTAGTGTTCCCAGGAAGACTTCTCAAATATTTCCATCCCAAGGCTTCTTGGAAGTTGGTTTCCTCATCCAGGCTCTTGGAATGTTTTAGTCATGTGCATGAATTAAAAGCAGTAGCTGCATAATGTTTGTGTTTCAGGAACAACTTTCTTGTATTCAAGGAGAATTAATGCTGTGTTATATTTGGCAATGCACAGCACTCTTTTCATCCTATAACACAGATCTGAAAGAAATTTGACTAAAGAAATAAAAATTTTAAAAATATATGATGATAAAAAAGCAGAAAGCTTTTATCCTTTGACTTATGGAAATAGGAGAAAGAGTTGTGGATTTGGTACTGCCAGTAGTAATTCAGCATAGTCACCAAGTATGAAATAGTTCCAATTCAGTGCAGTACAGGTGATCTGAGCATCCACAAACATCGGAACTGATTGCTGGATTTGTGTCCATGCAGTCCTGGATAAAAGGGTTTCAGGTAAGTTGCTTTGTATTTTGCATGGAAAACTCCCAGACAATTTCCATGGATGATTTTGATCCTGATGATTATTTCTGTCTTGGGGCTAGATGATGGCACAGGAGTCTCCTGTTTTGAAGATTTGTAGATGTGCAGCCACCTATTTACATTGCTAATACATTCTCCTGCACTCCACTGCTCTGTGGAAGAAAATTTGCTGGGGTGCTGGGAAAGGTACTCTTGTTATTGCAGAGTAGAACTGCAGTGAAGTTACAAGAAGTTCTTTGTCACTTCCAGCAGACAGCATCACTGACATAACACTGCCTGCAATAATCTTGCTCTGCCAGGGAGTGCACTTTCCTGCAGCTGAAAGAGCACTCAACACTAGTGCAAATGGGCATTATTTAGTCTTCTCAAAGAGGAGGTGACCTCTCTTAGCTAATTTGTCACGTCTGTATAGGATGTTAGCATTGCTCAGCTAAAGCACAGTACTCTCTTCATGTATTTGAGCCCAGAGGATTGAAATATTGAAACTTGCATATTTTTGAACTGATCCGACTTACATGCACAATGTGTTGAAACACCATGAAGGGGGAACAGTCTGGTAGAGGTGGAGCTTCTCCCATTTAGACAAAGCAGACAGAGCCGAGGAAAACCTGAAGAAGTACTTTAATTTTTGCTCCAGAAGGCACACTGTCAAGGTCATAATGTCAAATTGGACAGGAAAAGTCACAAGTCTCTTACAGCTGGTTGGGTTTTTTTTCCAAGCAGTTTCCAGACTTGGGAGACAATTGTGTGTTGTTTATGTCGTAGGATATTTCTGGATCGTTATTGCAAACTAGGAGTTGGAAATCAGCTCATTGAATATGTTTGATTCTGGGATAGAAACCTGCAGGGAGCTTTGAATTCTACCACAGATGCCACAAAATAAGCAGAATGTGGAGTGTAAGGATAAGAGAGGGTGGTTGCTTCCCGAGAATGCCTATATTCCATTCTTTGGCAGTATTTAATGAAAGTAAGTTTTTGAAATCCGGTTTTTTGTAATGACTTTTATCAAAATTCCTACAAAGTCCCAGCACAGAGCACTTTTTCTTATGAATTTAACCTCTGTCTTGTCTGTGTGTGTCATGTGAGTAGGGAGCCCAGATGCTTGCCAGTTTTCATTCCTCTAGTGATTTGGCAAAGTGTAGTCATTGTAAAGTGCAATTGCTTAATATGTAGCTCATTCACCAAAACCCCAAGGATCAAGGCAGTGAGTAATGTGAGTCATTACCAGAGCAGTGGTATCTGAAAAGAGGAAGAGTCATGCATCAAGTTCCAATCCATTTAGTCTCAAATTCAGAATTGTTTAAAAATCACTAGCTGGATGTGATTGATATTATCTCCAGGCAAATTAAAACAGTTACCTTCAATGCTGTGCTGCTGCTTTTCTCCTTGGTTATTAAAAGTGCTGCTATATGTCCCCTGTTTGTCTGTCTGAAACACTTGCAGACCAGCAGCATTCCCAGGTGCCATCTGCATCTCCCTTCCCTTTCCAGGCACTACATATCTTCATGCCTGAGATTCAGAAACTTGGTGCAGAAAATAGGAAGAACTCTGCTGATATGGTCAGCAGTGCTGTGGTTCAAATTTGTGAATTTTATTCACGCTTTTTTTTCCCAGCCATCCAGGTTTCAACAATTTTCTTGGTTTTCTTTGTATTAAATCATAAGAGCTGGGATAGATTTTTTTTTTTTTTTCTCCATCTTATTCCAGTGAGGAACTTTTTGGTCCTGGACAGACAATAACCATGAATGACTGAAGCATTAACATTTCCATCATCATCTCGAGCTATCACCTCACTTTTTAGATGTTTGGGGATGTGCAAGTGCTTATACCAGCTCAGTGCCATGAGGTTGTATGTAGCAGTCTAATGTAGCAGTCTGATGGCACCCAGCTTTAACACAAAAAGGATTTATGAATGCTGATAATCAGTGGTAATGCTTTGCCTCCAGGGTTTGCTGTGGGAACAAAAATGACAGGCTTCCTGAATTACAGTGAAAAAAAAAACCCAAAGAACAAAACAAGGCACGTGTTGGGTGTTTGTGTAGCTCCCTTGAAGTCAGCAGGGGTTGGACAGCCTTGCACTGGTTGGGCTGTAAGTGAGAGGTATTAAAATGTGAGTGATATTATGAAGAGCATGAAATGATACACAATGAATGAGAACATCAGTCTGCAGCTCTGCTCATGGACCACTTTTATAAGGCATTGTACTATACAGTCATGCATATTTAACTTGTGCATTTGTATGTTTAATTTGTGCATCAAAACCAGACCACACCCTTTAACTGTGACTCAATTGCTCTTAAATGAGGGGTTGTAACCCACAACCAGTGCTTCTTTGTGTTCCCTGGCTAAAATTATTCCAGGAAATGTAACAAGAGACAGATTATATTTTAGAAATTGAGTATGTATAATCCATTTCTGCCTACTAATTTCTGTCCTTATATCAATTTCTCAAGTCTTTCAGATGCAAATTTTTAATCAGTTTTTTTGTAACTAGCCAAGCCCCTGGAACACTGGCAACAACATTAGGGTTTTTCTCTGTTTGCTGAGTGGGTTGTCTTTCATTGTACTTGTGATTGCCCATAGGATCAGTACAGCACAGAGTTTGTACCTCAGAGTCCCTTTAAAATACTGCTTTGGGGTTTGGCCTTGTATTATGTAGAAACAGATAAGATGTTTACATTGATAGCCTTGGAGCCTGTGGAGCTCTGCCACAGATACCTTGTTTAGGGATCCCAGACACAACAGTGAACAGTGGTGCCTTTATGAGATTCATTACATGACTGAGTTTTTCTGAGTGGCTTCATCAAATGACTTGAAAAGAAGCAGCTGTAGATCAAACCTGACTGTCAGATGTTGGAGTAGGTGATGCAGGAAGAAACATCCCTGTCATATTAGATCAGAGGTTTACAGGTCACTGATCTAGAAAAAGTATACATTTTACAGCAGAAATTTATCTATGAGGTGTACTCCATTTTTATACCTGATTTTGTGGTGACTTGGGTATCACCTCTGAACACAGGCACACAAAATCCTTGAGGGCACTATGTTATATGACAAAATACATGGGTTTTTCTGTTTCTCCCCCATTTGGTTGAGCTGGGAATCCTGAAAGGAAACTGCAAGAAGCAAAACCTGAGTCTACTACAATCCTTGAGGATAGCTGCACTGTTTTGGGAAGTGTGAAGAATGAACAAACTGTGCTTCCAAAGACAGCCTTTAGGAAGCCCCACAGTTGCCCAGTTGTCGTGCAGCTCTTTGTGGCTGTTGCTCTCATAGGACATCTAGAACTTGCATCACGTGCTGAAAACTCAGAGACATGCAAAAGGTAGGAAACACATCCCCTCAAAGATGAAGAGCAGTGCCATATCCAGCAGGCACCTGTGTTTCCAACTGAAAGAGAAATGCCCATCAGAAGAGATCTGCAGAAGGTAGACATGAAGGCAGTAAGTGGAGACTTTTTTCACAGTATCTTTCCAATTGCTTTCAGACCAATGAACCTTTTCTGTTATTAAAACTAATATAACAGGGGAAAAATTATGTATGTAGGTAGAAGATTTGTAGTACCTGAGTGATTGCAGTGGTTTAACTGTCAACATTTTGGTGTTGACTGAGAGCCTTTTGTTTCTGTAAGTTTGTACATAAATGAGAGGGACTTGGTAGTTCTGCTTGTTGTTTGGGTTTTTGTTGAAAGAAATTGAGTGTCTCCAACACTGAGATTTGTTTCGTGAATATTACTTTTGTTTTAATTGCTGTATATTGAAATGCTGAGAATTAAGCCCTTCCCTTTCAAAACTTTCCTGACATGGGCATCTCTGTCCAGCATTTCACCCTGAAAGGATTTTTGTCTGAAATGATAATAGTGATAGGGAAGGATGTATTTTCTTTCCTCAGTGTCTTAACTTCTCCCTGTTCCTCTTGATGGGGGCTAGTTGATGAGGGACAACTGCCCATCACTTTCAATTGGCCAAATTGTCCTGATCAAAGTGTTAATTGTGCCAGAATCAGTTGGAAGAGTCTTAAACTGATGTCTGTCATTTCTCACTCATAAAGTTACATACTGATGAGCTGATGGAAGAGTATAATTATTTCTAGCAGATAAAGAACTCCAAGGGTGCTTTTTAAATTTAAAAGTAACTTTTTATGTTTCATATCAGTTGATCTCTAGGAGGTTTGCTAACCTTGTATAGATCTAGGTAGGTTTAATTCTGATTTATTGTTTTAATAACAGATAGAAATAAAACTGGTGCAACTGCACCAAATCAGAGTTTGCAGTGAGGCAAACCCTTCTGCATGAATATGTCTTCTGGGAATCCTATTTCTAACAATTTATAAGCTTTATCCATATAAACTAGTCAGTGAGAGTCTTTCAATCAATAAGAGTGTTTATTATCATCTCAGATAAATAGGAACCGTTTTGTGCATGAGTTGGATATGGTGGTTTAAACCTGCTTGCCACAGTTCAGCTTGGTTTAGTTTCTCAGGCAGGTGGAAGCTGAATAAATACAACCAACATTCAATTCCTGCAACACAGTTCATATCTAAATGGCTGTGGAAAAATGAGTTTTACTTTCAAACCAGCCCAAACAGTCCCTAAAGTTTCCATAAGAAAGTCTTCCCATGAATCAGTTAATAGACTTTTTAATATTGTAGGTTATTGAGTGAGAAAGACTCAGTAAAGTCTTTTAATTCACTTAGTGATGTAACCTGGCCTATAGCTTAGTAATGCCTCTGGTAATGTTGATGCTACAGAAAATAGCTTTATTTGCCCACTTTCTGTGTCAAACCCAAAGGTCATGCGCCAGGTTGTCTCAGCGCAATGTGCTATAGGCTGGTAACTGGTCCTTTAGCCTCTCCTGCTGCTTCTGTTCTCGTGAGAGGGCTCAGGGAGAAGTGGGGGTTTTTGCACCATGGCACATATGTGGTGGCTTGCAGGGACTTGCCTGCTCCACACCTTGCCTGGCAGCTCCAGCCTGCCAAAGAGGGTGAAGCCTCTGCAGCTGCCCCGCTTAGATCTGGCCTTCTTTGGCTGAAGGTGTTTTCCATTTCTTTTTTGTTTCTTAGCAAGTGTTTGAAATGCTTTATCAGTCTGCCTGTGCCTCGCTGCTCCCCAGTGCTTCAGGCCACCAAGTATTTGGGTTCATCAGGCCCGAGTTTCAGGATCTTGTCCATGCAGAGCAGGATGAGGGTCAGAAACCAGAGGCTCCAGCCAACAGCCGCTGCGATCCACCCGTAGTCATCCATGCCCGAAGGACAGCACGCGGCCGCTTGCCTGCAGAAGTTCACATCTGGTGGAGGAGAAATGAAGTCAGCTCACGGGAGGCCAAGTACGTGACAGGTTTCCTTTACTAGAGAAGGCAGATGACTTCTGCCCTATCACTCTGCCTTGGCATCTTTCCCCTAAACCTGGCTCTTTACCTGGTGGATGACTCTGGAGTAGTGGTGGGATCTCGGGTTGTTTGGGGCTGGCTGTTTGGGAAGGACCTGGTAGGGCAGGGGAAAGAGGCGTTCTTGGAAACCCATATAATGCCCACAGGCAGTCTGGCAGGGAGCTTTAGGACACAAATTAGCTATCAATTAGTCTGTTCAAAGCTATGAGTCTGTCTGAATGTACCTAAGATATCCTACCCTGACAGTGGAGAAGTCTTAGAAATGCAGCCTAGAGGTTGACCCACAATGGAAGGCTTGAGAAGAGATAAAACCATTTCCAGGACAGCCCCTCAGTCCCAGTGTAGACTCATCACCAAACTTTTAACAGGTAGTAATGATTTATGAAGACTTACTAAGACATGGTGGTTCATAGTCAGTTGTTGAAACATTGGAGGTGTCTTCAGCTGCTGCCAAAAGGAAAGCAAAGGAGAAAAGGTAAATTGGATTAGAAGAGTGATGTTTGGCATCAAGCAGAGAAATCTGAAAGCCATTGGCCTTGTAGAGGACTGTGGAATGGAAACAACTTGAAGAAAGTAAGTTCCTGCCCCTAAACATTGCTGCATTAGGATATGCATCCTTATCCCACCACTTTTAACACCAGCTTCAGAGACCTGCTCTAGCAGCATCCCTCTGGAGCAGCTGAATTATTGCACCTCTGCCTTGGTGTGAGCCTGGCTGAGCCATTCTCTCAGAGCTCAAATTAACCACTCTCCTTGCCCAGGCTGCAGGGGCACAATGAGCAAGCACAGAAAGGAAAGACATTCAGTGGCATGGAGAGATCCATGGCCAGCAGGCTGTACCTCAGCCTACTTTTGCCCTTAGAAAAATCCCAGGGTGCACAGGAATCTGGCAGAGCTGAGGGTTGAGCCCACCTTTAGGGAGCCTCAGCAGGTCCACCAAGGCCCCAGTGGGGAGCTTTGGCTTTGCTGCAGGTTGGAGCATCTGAAACTGCTCTGGCTGTACTCCAGTTCATACCAGCATGGTAACCAGCTCAGGATGGAAAATAAAACATCCAGAAATAAGTCATGAGGGAGAGAGGCTTGGAGCTTCGATGTGGGTTTTGCCTCCTTATCCTGCTTCCTACCCAGAATCAGCACACACAGACTCTGACACAGCTCTGTAGCTGGTATCCAGCTCTCCAAATGTGCACATGGTGTCACAGGCCAAACCCTCCTTAGTCCTCCTTAATGCTGCCTTGCCCCTGAGCCTCAGCGTGCTCCCTGCAGCACTGCAGGAGCAAACCAGGGCAGCAGCAGGATGCTTGCAGGGGTAAAAACAGGCTGAACTGGCCCCCGTGCATCAGCACCTATCTGTCCCCTGCTGCAGAAGGAAGAGTCAGAGAAACACCTCTTCTTGTGCTGCCATGAGCAGCACAGTTCAAGTTCAGGCAGGTAGAGTATGTCCTGCACAGACAAAAAGTGGCCTGGGGAGACTCCAGTAGTGAGGACTCCTGCTGTATGGGGAAGCCCTAATGTGCTGCTGGTCCCAGACCTGGCAGAAGCTATGAGAGAACTATTTCCAATCAAGCTATCACTCTGAGCTGGTAATTTGGAATGTAGCAGAGAAAATCAGCTCCAGCTTGATTTCACCAAAGACTGCAAAATAAAAGCTCAGGTTTCGTTTCAGCTGAGGAAACCAGAACAGAATGAGACACATTTGACCAAAGATTTGCTTTGAGTTTGTTGTTTTCCAAGTAACAGCAAGTAAACTGAGACTGTCCTGTGAGACATGTTCCCCTTGGGGTCACCTGCTGTTGCTTAGCTCTTAGTTTTGAGCTGACCCATCATCAGCAATACCAGAGCTTTCCCTCTGGCATCTGCCATGCTCAGAGTGGGCCCCTGGGCAACCTGCTTCAGGGAAGGGTCTGAGTATTCCCCATTCTTTCCCCATTCTTCTGTCTGACTCTCATAGGATTTGCAGAATGACCTTGGCTGAGCCTATAATTTGTTTTCTCAGTTAATAAATACCTCACAGAAGCACTGGGAAGAATCATTAAAACCTGTGTATGACCTGTGGAAGGAAATACTGCAGAATGCCGAGTGCTGGTTTCTGTTTTTAGATCTTGCAGCCCAAAGAACAGGCTGTCAAAGCCTCAAAGCCAGACCATCTTTAAACAGCCAACAGGTCTCATTTGCTGCTGATATACAACAGCCTGGTGGGAAAGGAGCAGCTCACAGGTCTCATTTACATTTAATTTTGGTTTCAGGCAACTTCAACAATTAAAGTGGCACCAAAGCCACATTTTCTGCAAAAAGCTTGTAATGAAATTTAAATCAGAGTACAGTGATCCTAATGGGTGATATTGCAGGGGCTCCTATGCCTCAGCAAGCAGAAATAGGCCAAGTAACTGTGGCTCCTGTCTCCTTGCTGTTCAGTGGGGTAACCTGCAACTCAGTCACATTTACAGTGGTTCTGTAAATAGCTGGCAAAAGAGCAGGGTATCAAAACCGGAGCATAAGAGAAGAGAAATACCTGCTGAGCAGGAATCCCAGAGGGCAGCGGCGAGGCAAAGCACAGCGAGGGCTGCCCAGGGCTCACAGCAGAAGTGCTTCATGCCGAGGGTCCCGCTCCCACTGCAGCATCCACACAGAGCAGCTCGCTGTCGCTGGCACGTCTGGTGCAGCAAAGCCTCGATAGCTCAGGGAGCTGCTGTGCTGAGCAGAGGGTGGAGCAAGGGAGCTTCCTGCTGCCAGGACACCTTGAACTTTCCTGCCACAACCAGGTGAAGAAAGAGCAGGACTCTGACCAAAATAGCTTCAGTGGGACGTGGATACCAGGAGGTGGCTCCTGAAGGTTAAGCCTGAAGGTTTCTCCCCAGGATATGCTGCAGCTGGAAGGAGGACAGGCTTCCAGAGCCAGCCCTTCCCAACAGGGTCCCAAGCAGCTTCTGTCTTTTGAGTTTCTTTTTGGTCCTGTGAAGATAGTTTAATATAGGTGGAAAGGAGCAGAGGATTGGAGCAGAGGCTTTGTCTCCCAGTTTGGCTATTTTTTTTTCTGCATGTTCACTGGCTTGACTTTTGTTTTTTTGGGGTAGCTCTGTGGAATCCCAAAAAACTGCAGCCTTAGGTCTGCTGCTGTTCTTTCCCTGTGAGCACAGCTCTCTCCCTGCCTCCATCACCCTCTGCAAAGTGATTCTGGATAAGCTATTTTTTCTTCTCTGGTGGCTATTGCACCTCCTCCTTGAGATGTGCAAAGCAGAAGCTGAGCCCTCCTGCAAGCATAGCTCTGTCTGCACACCAGGAGGGTTGACAGAAAAAGTTATGCTCGCTGGAGAGCAGGAATTTTTCTGCAATCCTGGCTGGAAAAGCCACCCTGTAAAGTGCATGTGATGTTGTCCTTCTCTGATGAGCAGCACACTTTACTGCTCTTGCCCAGGCTGTTGGCTGTGCTTGCTCCTATCTTTGACGTGATGATGCCCTTGTTAGAGAAAACATCAGACATGAAATCAGGCAGGAAGAGGTGAGCTCTGCAGGGAAATCACCTGGAAGCGGTGAGCTCTGCAGGGAGCAGGTTGCTGATGCTCTTATGCAGTGGTCATTCATAGTTTTGGGAGCTCATGTTGGAAGGGACCTGTCTGGGGCCTCCTGTGTTTTGGCAGACATCTTAGGGGAGGCACAAGGCAAGGCATGGGGGGCAGGAGTCCTTGTACGATGGAGAGCATTTAACAATTTTCTCTCTTTTCCCTTCCACATGGCTGAAACCCACAGGAAAGGACATAACAAGCTTCCCACATGAATACCACATGAATACTGTATACACCAGGGTACAGCTCTGCAAAGCTATGAGGTTGATTTGGTCTCCCTTCATTTAAGAAAAACCTTGAAAGCAAAACCCACACGGGTTTAGCCCTGCCCAGTGTTTCTGTGGGGTGAACCCACTTGTCCTCACCACCAAAAATGTTCTGCTCCCACCTGGCTGTGAATATTTCCAGGATGCATCAGGACAAGGCAGCCAGATTGCTCCCTCAGAGAGGGAACATCTCTCACCACAAAGGTGAGCCACGGGTGAAGGCAGGTCAGCTGAGACAGGCATGTTTACCCACCCTGTTTTCATGTCAACACATCACCAGTGCTGGCAGAGTTGGAGCTGTGCTGGCTGGTCTGTGACAGCCACCTCCTGCTACTGCTGGGATGCACAACCTCATCCTCCTGTCCTTCAGATGACACCTGGGATGTGGCACCAGGCCAGGGGTGACCCCAGCAGCCACCGATCTTGGCCTCGGTAGGCAAGAGTCACGGCAGGAGAGATGCTGTAAAATGCTCAGAGCTGCTTGAAATTCACCTCTGGGGTAGTTTTCATGTCTGGCTCAGTGTCATCTCAGTTTCAGTGTCTCAGTCCTTTTGTGGAGGTTGCCTTTAATTTGTATATTTTTCTGAGCTACCTGTTGCATCAAAACTAAACCTCAGGTCTTGAAGTGGGAAAGGTCCTCTGCTGTCTGCCAGATTCACCTTTCCCTTCTGAATTTCTCACCTTCTGTTCCCACTGAAAATTGACCTGGCAATTAATTTTGAAAAAGTAAATGAATTCAAAATGTTCTGTGCAGAACAGAATGCTTGAGGGGAAACAAAAAGACAAAACTGCTCTGCTATTGCATGCATGATTTGATTTTTAATGAAATCTATTTTGAATTTTAGCTATTAACTAAATACTCTTTGTCAGCTTGTAGGCAAACGTCCCCATTTCTAAGGGATGCTGAAAATGCATTTGCACAATTAACATAATGTGTTTTTTTTTCTTTTCCAAAATGTGTTCCCTCTGTGGCTCAGAAAGGGCTGCTCCAAAGTTTCCTGAAGCAGAGAACAGGCTGCACTTGGCTTCAGTGATTCTTGGATCAGGTTGGAAATGAAGGCTTTGCTTGATAAGTTCCGACACAATGGGAGCCCTGCAAAACCATTTCCTGACACAGATTTGGATTTGTTTCATTTCTTCTTTGTAACACATTTATATTTCAGAGTTGTGACTGCCCGAAGAGCGATAAGACACTCCAGAGCCTTCCCCTAATTTCTACTCCTGTCTCCCTCCATGAGGGTGCCCTGGCACATGAGACACAACTGCAGGCCCTGCAGGGATGCTGCTTCCTTTCCTCAGGCTCCCATTTTCATGCAGTTCTCAAGACAAGACTGTTTATTCTCAAGACAAGACTGTTTACTCTAAAATTAGATACTTCCCCAGGTCTCCTCTTGGAGATTCTTCCAGTCTCTAGGGCTGCTGGGCAGCTTTCCCTGATGGATATGGAGGAGGCAATATCTACTCTTCAGTAGATTTTGTGCCACAGAGAGCTTCATGGCTAAGATTCTCTCGTGCCCGAAGTAGTGCCCTTGACACGTCACCAGGTGTGGCTCTCAGAAAGTTATTACCTTTATCACACACACACACACACACACACACTGTGTGTGTGTGCATACATATTGTGTTTACATAGGCAACTGGTTTATATTTTCCATTCCAAATCGACTCCGATTGCTGCCGCTGCAAAAAAAGCTCAAAATCTTATATCTGCTGCCAATGTGTCCATCAGGGAGGAGGCAAATTTGTTTGCTGTCTTCACTGATGTGAAAAAAAAAGCCATCTAAGATAAAGCTACCTGTGAATGGGGGATGGGATTGATTTTTAAAACTCAGACAAAAAAAAAAAAGTCAAAACCACAAAGGTTTTACTCTTTAAAGAAAGAAGGGGAGAGGGGATGTGCTTTCTGTCACACAGAAGAAAGCAAGTCTAGGATTTTGGAAAACTGCACAACCCTGCCCTTTGTGTTCTCCAGTCCAGGCTGGGGTTGGTATTAGACAAATGTATTAGACAAATGTTGAGCCTGTGGCCCTACTGTGACCCCATGCTGTTCATCTGGAGACCCCAGTGAGAGGGCTCAAGACCAGCCAGGCAGTGAAGGGCTCGGAGAAAGGCTCCCTTCAGCTCGCCCGGGCAGAGCTGCCTGCACCAACAAAGAGCCCACTGATGGGGCTTCTCCAAATGGTGCCTCATGGCCAGCCATCATCATCTCATCTGCATTAATAGGATTATTATAAAATAATGTTCTTACTTCCACATGCCAGAGGCATGAAATAGGATATGCTTTCTTCTTCTCTCCTCTCTGCTTCTGACCTGGGAAAGGTGGGGGAAGGGCAGCAGAGACAGCTTCATCTCTGCTCACTCCTTGGCTAGCAGGATGGAGCAGCCAGCTTAGTGCAGCTTGCTTTGGTGATGAAGTGTGCTTTGGGGGCCCTTTTTGCTCCCCCAGCCCCAAAAGCTTTTTGAGGAGTAGCTGAGTGTAGCTGGGGGGCTGAGTAAGAGCAGCAAAGGAGCGAAGAGGAAGCAAAGCCTGATGTCATCAGATGTGCTGTGGTTCGGAGGTGAGGGGAGTAGCCTGAGAAGCTGTTTCATTTTGTTGTGTCAATATGCACCAGTTTGGAACTAAATTATGACTCCTTTTGTTTAGTATCACTGCATGGGCTGGAAGGCAAAGTCCTTCCTTTGCCACACCAACTTCTCCATGGCCCTGCATGCCATTCACATGGTCAGGGCAGTGACTTCACATCTGCCTTATCAAGGAAATTTCCAGTTTCCCAGCAGAAGGTGCTGACTTTCATCAGCCTTTAATCCCTTGCTTTGGTAACACTGATAGAGAAAGCAGAGCTGATTGTGGACAGTGGCTGGTCCAGGAGAAGCACAGTGCAGCCAAAGGGGGTGGGAGCCCAGGGAGCCCCACAGGCAGTTCATCTGGGGGGTTTGCTGAGCAAAATGCAAGTTTTAGGCCCATCTGTCAAAAGTACCTTGTAATTTATAATATCTCTTTTTTGGATCACATAGTTTGAGACAGCTGGACTTGAGAAGTGGCAGGACCCTTCTCATCAAGATGACTTTGTGAAGTGGGGCAACTCTGTTGCTTTTGAATAGAAAACCCTGGTGCTGGGAAACCCTCTGCTGTTGCTTGTTTTTTTTTGGCAGTGTTCCCATGGACTAACTAAACCCTCTGGCTTGTTGGGCCAGGGTTACTGGGTACCTCCAAAAGAACAAGTCTGAGAAAGCATTTCTTTAAGGGTACTTTACAGTTTGCATATAGTCATGCGTTTTCATTAGTAGTTCTTTTGAGAGGAAATTTTTCTGCTGGGTGCTAGATTTAGTAGTGTCCCAGGCAGCCTTTTTCAAACCCTGCCTCATCAGTGGGAGATAAGCCACTGATTTTAGGAGGGGCCCAATTTCTCTCCGGAGCCTTTGCTTTAGAGGCTGAAGTGGCAGAGAGTCTATAAAGCCCCTTTCCTCCCCCCAGCAATTGTTATGTCAAGGGGTGGGAATCAAGTTCCCTGTCAGCCCTGTCCCCGGTTAACAGAGCCCCTGCCCTCCCAGCCCTCTCCCTGCTCCATCGCTCTGCCCGTCCCGCTGCACCACCAGGAAAATCATTAATCTCCCATTGTTTCCCTGGCCTTTCCCAGGCTGCCTTCAGCGGGGAAAAACCAGCGAGCAGCAGCGCACAGGTTTTTTCCACCTCGCTGGCCGACGCCCCTCCATCCCAGCTGGCAGATGGAGCGTCCGCGCCGCGACACAGCGGCTCCCTGCTGCTGCCCCGGGTGTCCGGGGGTGACAGCCGGGCTGTCCCGTGTCAGTCCCAACAAGCCGCCTGCTGCCACAGCACGCCTGGCACAGCCCTGGCACAGCCCT